CAACAACCCACTGGCAAAACACACAAAAGCATGGTACATACAGTATCAAATTGACATTCATAATATTTTTACTGACACTCATATAAAATAAAAAAAATTGGGGAATCAATTTAACAATTATATGTAATTGTTTGGCTTCCCAAAATACATTGAATTTTGAAACAATATATGATGCAAAAAGTTTTAAGGGTAAGAATATTTCTCAAAGAAACTTGGCCTGGATCTGAAGTTTGATTTATTTGTAAATTTGCCAAGGTCCACACACTTGTATTTACCTGTAAGCTGGCTTTTGTAATATTTTCCAGAGTGAAGTAGTTGACCAGATGGCTTTCCTTATTAAACTTCTGCAGAGCGAGCTTGGCTGTCTCCTTGATTACTGGTTCATTCAAGTTGTCAGCCGTAGGGCAATCCGGACACACATGCACAACAGCAGTAGCTGCAACTAAGATTAAAGGTGCAAAGTCAAAGAAACAGAAAAAGAAACCAACTGCACCACAGTGTTGTGAAGAAATTCTGTCGAACTTTGCAATTTCTGTTTGACAATTGCATACTAAATGCAATGGGTAGAAAGAAAAAAAAAGTCAATCATTCTCATGCAAAGAAGGAAAAATAAAAGCAACCCAGAAATGACCAAAAGATGCTAAAAGTAAACAGTAAAAACACTGTCTGAGGGGACGCAACATATTTTACTAAAATTATAAACTAAATAAGACAAACCAATGCAAAATAAACATTTATTACTAGTAATAATAAAGGGTAAAAATGGCAAAAGGCATGTTTCATGGTCTGTTCATTTACCTTGCTCTTCTATTTTATAACAATTTGGGGGGCAGTAGTGTGCAGGGACTCATAGAATCAAAGATAAATTTCTAGTTTGTCTTGACAAACTTGGACAATAAAACTGATTCTGATTCTTTTCATTCATTTCAATGCTCTCAATAAAATCATGGATCATAAAAGGATCACACATGTTTAGATTATTATTTTGTTCTTTTTCTTATGGTAATTTCACCCACCTTCTCGCAGGGCACAAGAGTAGCTCTCCAGTTTGACCTGAGCATCAACTCGAACAGATGCCTGACACTCTCCATATACCTGAAGGAAGCAAATATTTGTAAAAAGGTGGCTAAAGGTGACACATTCCAGAATTGTGAAACAGCTTTTAGATTAAGTAAATGAAATCATTATGGTGAAATTCTAGCAACCACAGCTGATAGTATTTTACCATAAACTAGAGATGTATTTTTTTTCTTCTTACAGCACATTTTTTTGTATTTGTTCTTTATTAAGGCAGTTTTAGGGTTAAGTAGTATCAGATTGACCAAAATAATAGAAAAAATACATTTAACATAGCTTAATTTTAATTTTATTTTTAAGTATAACAATTGGAAAAAATCCCCACATTTTTGAATGGCTACATTGCCTTGCAATCACTAAGAGCTAACAGAAAATAAATAGAATTTGAAGACAAATAGTAATGAGCACATTAAAAAAAATCAAAACACAACTGTGTTGGATATTTATTTTAATGTGTGTAAGCTGTATATTTACTGAAGTATAACACAAAACAGTTTTGGACTTACAGGGATATCTCCAAGACCTCTGGCTTCACATTGTTTCCATGGTTTTCTGCTGATACTGTGGCACTTGGTCTCCAGCACATCGATAGTCAAGTTGTAAACTGAACCACTCTTCTCCTGAGAACAACAATAAGATGTGTATTCTACAATTAAAAAACAAAAATGAGAGAAAGAAGGACAGAGAGAAGAAAGGGGAGAGACCAAGAGCAGATGACTTCATCAAGGACTACCCTTTGGGCTTCCTGTACACTAGTGACAATCCATTAGGAGCGTGGTTAATTAAGAGATATTGCAGATTACAAGGGCAGCCAGACTAAAACTGTGAATAGTGCCATTCAAATCTCTGTGTATATTTTCTTCTGCAAGATTCTTTCTTCAATAACCCAAAATGTTGTCAAAATGCTAACACAGTTGAAAATCGAGACCCCATCTACTAATCATTAATTATGTACATGCATGAATATTTTCACCCTAACCTGATTTGATGTGCTGGAGAGATCGTAGAGTCTGTTGAGAGTTAGGATGTATCCATCAGTCCTGTCCTGGTTGATCTGCTGCAGGGCCTCTTCTGCCATTCTCTCAACATCAGGGCTGTTGCAGCCTTGTGACTCGACTGTGGCTTTCCCATTATGGAAAAGTAATGCCAGTAACAGAACTAGAAAGGATACACTCATGTTCTTCTACACATACACAGACTCTCTCTCACACACACAGGAGCAAACATACAATTGGAAAAAAAAAAAATCTAGCTTTCACAGACTGTTCTGACAGATACAAGAAGGTAAATGCTAGACTTTCACCCTTCCCGCAACGGATGAGCAAACAACTGATTGCATCTATTGCATGAAAGGCCAATGCCTGACTGACTGAGCGGTCATAGTTCACTCTGTCATTAAAATAATTGTCAAGTACATTACCTCCTTTAATTTTGTTACCTGATTCTGATTTACAAATGATATTTCTCCATAAACTAAAGAAAGAATGATATAATTTAAAGTTTAGAAAGTTTGTCTCTTCCTTGATGCTTTCACTACAAAACAATGTTTTGGAGCTTGATCAGAGAGTGGAGTAAATTTTTCCCACAATATGATTATGTCTCAGTTTTCTCACAAAAAGTTGAAAAATGGCCTTGGTATTTTAGTGAAAAAGGTCTAATTACCAATTGTGATATCAAATAGTTATTTCTTGAAATCACCTTCTTATTGAGGTGAACAGCAAAGCTAAAGTCATCAGTTGTCTATTCAGTCCAACTCAAAAAGTGCAAATTGTATTTTAATTGTATTTTACTTGTACAATCGTCTTACAAGGATCACATCAGGAGCAATCAATTAGAGCAGAGTTGCAATCAAGCTGAGAAAATTTTTGAGAACTGACACGTCTGTTTTAAACCAGGGGTCTTAAACTCTAGTTCTCAAGATCTCCTGTCCTGCAGGTTTTAGACTGAATCAGAATTCTTATTTTTAGGAAAATATTGGTGTTTTTCGTTTAATTTCTCTCAGAAGTTTGTATATATTAAAGTGTCCTTAAACTTTCTTTCTGAGGTTTATTTTTTAAGCCAGGGAAATTCTACTCCAGTTGTCAAAGGCCTGCAATTTTTAGATGTGTCTATTGTTCAACAGAGCAGGGTCAAAGGGGCAGTTCTGTTGAACTTTTGATGCAATCTGTTTTGTGGATTAAAACTTTATTATGATTGTTTTTGAACAGCTTATCAAACCTTTAACTTGAAATTACTCAATAAGTCAGTCTAGGAAAAACGTTGTTTTTAAATTTTGCAACAGACGAGGCCCACTGATAACGGCTGTTTGCTTTGTCTGAAAATCTGATTGCATCAGTAAAAGTTCACAAAGACAAAGATATAAAGACTTTTTTTTTTCAGTTTTAGCAACCGAGAGCAGATGTTCTGTCTGAAGTTGAAAAAATTAGAAATTCTCCTGTTTTGGATGTTTGTAGCTATATATACAAGGTAATTCCTTTGTGGATTTACCTTATATATATATATATATATATATATATATATATATATATATATATATATATATATATATATATATATATATATATATATATATATATATATATATATATATATATATATATATATATATAGATCTATATATATAGATCTATATCTATATATAGATCTATATATAGATCTATATATATATATAGATATATATATAGATATAGATCTATATATAGATCTATATCTATATATAGATCTATATATAGATATAGATCTATATATAGATCTATATATAGATCTAGATCTATATATAGATCTAGATCTATATATATAGACATAGATATAGATATATACATATATATATCTATATCTATGTCTATATATATATATATGCATACAAGGTAATATATACATATATAGTTTGTATTAATTGCATTAATTGCATACTCAGGAAGAACAAACAAACAAATCAATTTCAATATGATTACAATGAAATGTTTGCAGAAACATGTTTCTGTCAAGGTTTGTCTCCTTGTGTGTTGTTCATTTTTGCATCCACTAGATGGTGGCAGGAAGCATAGAGGGGACCTATGTGCTCACCAACTGCTAAGAGCTGGCTGCCATCCCTCCTTTGCCATATTAGAAATTAAGCCCAGTTGATGTACTTCACAATTTGTGGCAGTATCCACCTGAAAGTTGTCTGTGATTAGCCATAACAGAAAAGGAGAAAAAGAAGAAGGCTCTGATGCCTGAGCGTTATCTTTCTTCAGGATTGCTATGCTCATTTGGTCACCCCATCTGACGAATTCTGGATTCCCTTGATCAAGACCTCATCTGTACCAAAAATGTTGGAACCCATCTCTGTGTCTGGCAACTTTTACTCTCCATCATCCTCCTGAGTGCTTAACCTGCCTGTCTTCCCACAAACACTGCTTTCTGTCTTGTCATCTGTCTGGCTCAAGAATCATCTGTCAATGTCAATACACAAGAAAAAACAACACCTTCCACTCACTTGTCCCTGGCAGCTCCACCTACAACGACTCAAAGTAAGCTTGTTTCATATTTTATCATGCATTTCAAGTCAATTCCGATCTAACCTCTCATGTCTCAACAGTGTTCTCTTTTGCGACTTTCAGTTCCTTCCAGAACAGCCTAAGATTCATTATTAATATTCTTGTAATAAAATCTTTAGGGGTCAGAAGGTTACATACTAACATGACAGTTTGATATATACTTTCGAGAATTTGGGTGCAAAGGTATTTTGGGTGCAAAGGTATTTCAGATCTAGAATATTTCAGAATATTCTAGATCTGAAATACCTTTGCAATTCAGAGTTTAAATGTTTAAATACATTTAGACACAGCCAGCTGTACTGTTGCCCTTTTAACCAATGACTTATTTACAGCTTTTAATCTTTTGATGTTCAGAAGCATTTTAATGGCACACATTAAAAGGAGTTTAATTTTGTACACTTTGTCTTTATTGAATGTTCAAAATAGCTGGCATTTCACAAGTTAGGTATTCAACAATAACCAGGAAAAGTAGGTGTTACAATACTTAAACAATTAGAATCTGAATTCTCTCAGAAGTTTTGCTCTCTTTCAAAAGCAATTAAGTTCCATCATGCAACAGGCTGGAACAAGGGATCCTCCTTAAAGAGTTTGTTCACTAGACCGGCTCCTTCTGCTGGATTGGCACACTCTGCTGAGCGAGAAGTAGGGAAAGGTAGGATGGTTGGTTCAGTCTGTCCTGGAATACTGGGGTCAGGTTTAAGGGGCAGAGTGACTCCAGCTCCAGGCCCACCTGCGGGAACGTCAGGGAAGGAAGGCAGGATCATCGGTTGGTCAATGGCAGGCAGAGTCCTTATCAAGCCCTCTGGTTCATCATGTTGTTCAGCCTCATGCTCATGCAAGTGATGATGGTGGTGATGTTCATGCTCATGCAGGTGGGCATGCTTATGTTCATGGTCCAAAGCAAGCTCATGGTCATGGTCATGGGTGTGTGTGCCCTCAGGATGGGTGTAGTTATGGTGCTGATTGGGAAAGCCACCAGGGTAGTGACGTGCCTTGGCATGATAGGCATGAACGTGATCATGATCGCTGTCAAGTCCATGGTCATGTGAGTGGGCATGCCCATGCCTGTAGGCGCTGCCTGGTTTGTGATCATGTGTGTGGTGATGTTTGCTGTCTTTAGGATGTGGGACATCATGGTGAGAGTGATCCTTGGTGTGGTCATGGATGTGATCGTGTTCACTTAAATTTGAATGACCTTTGCCATGTTCGTGGCCCCGCCATTGTCCCCGGGCGTGACCGTGTCCATGTCCCCTGCCTTGACCATGGTCATGGCCCTGATCGTGTTCATGACTCCCGTTACGATGACCGTGTGCGTGTCCATGCCCACGTCCATGCGAATGACCTTTGCCACGCTCTTTGTCATCGTCATGGCCCCTCCCATGTTGATGTGTATGTGTGTCATTGTGGGGGTGGTCAGTTGCATCACCCAGCAGATGTTGTATTTTTTCTCTTTCAGCAGCCTGTCAAAAATCAAGAAAATATAGATTTGTATCATGTGGAACATTAGAGCAACACATTCAAAGCTCGTATAAATATTAGACCAATGAAAGCCCTTTTAAAATACAGAAAATGTAGTTTACCTCTTGCTCATAGATTTCACACTCTACCCTAATGTCTTCACCAACTGGGGTATTCATGAGAGATGCCTTACAGAAACCCTTGTGCTGAGAACAGAAGCATATTTTAAATGTAGCATTCCACTCCATTCAGGTCACATGGTGAAAGCACATGTAAAATGACCAATACAGATTTATGACCACATAAATTTTAAGGAACTATTTTGATATGACTTACTGAGAATTCACATGTCATGATAGGACACTTTTCACCTGCTGGTGACTGTTTATACTTTCCACAAACAGTCTCCTGAATAGTGTACTCCACATTGTAATACATGTCCATTGCCATCTGGAGACAAGTGGAAGAAAAGAGAAAAGGTTTGTATTTGAAATAGGATACAGTAATAGAAAATATATATAATCAGGAGATTTTCATAGACTGTTCAATTGATGTAACTTGTCAGATTTTCAACTAAAGGCATCTTTTACCTTGGTTTAACTAGAATACACAATAAGATGGGATAAAATAGTATACAATGCAATGTTTGTTTGGTATTATTAATTTTTTTTTACTTACGCCGGCAGAAGCGCGTAAGATTTTGAGCAGAGCAAAATGATTATTCAGTCCACTTTCATTGTTGAACTTTTCCAATGATTGAGACACGGTCCTCTGGACCTGTTCGTTGTCAAAGCTGATGAAAGTTGAACAGTCGGGGCAAATCGCTGTCACCCTGGCTGCAGGAACTGAGTAAATATAAAACGTCCTTTTAGTGATAGGATATTGTAATAATGTGTTGCGTTTGCTAGCCTCACAAAGTTCTCTTTCATAAAAAATCTTAACTTTTAGCACAAAACCACACACACTCAACAATATTTAATAATTTTTTTTTTTTTCTTACCTGGCCTAATAACACAGTTGTATTTGTAGAGACGAACCACTCTGTGTGGCTTGTTGATGTAGATAGCAGCCTTGCATTGTCCATAAATCTGCAAAAACACAGTAATGTATATATACAGGATAGGTCCTATATTTGTTTGGATTGTTTTTTTTTGTCCCAAACATATTTTTCTGTACTCCAGTAGAGTAGTAGTTGAGTCAAAGTAGAAAACAGAAAATACCTTGTGAAGTTTTGTTTTAATATAGCTGTTTTTATTTTTGCTTGCAGGCATGCATTTTCATCCTCAACAGCAGTGCTGTTGCTTTAAAGATGGATAGTGGAAGGAGTAGTTGTGTAGGAATTATCTTAATTTGTGGAAATTTGAGCTAAATGAGCAGAAGGATGTCAAACCTAACTTAATGTAGGTGCAATGAAACAATTGCACCTAGATTGTTGTTCATGTTGTTCATTTTGTTGTTCATGTTGTTCATTTCTTGGGAATAAGTTAGATGTGTTACGTTAAATACAATATAGCAGATCAATAATACAAATTGATTGAGAAGTTCTGCATATGCATCTGAATTAATGGGGTATAAATTAGCTGAAGTACAACTGTGGTTATGATCTAAGAAACGCTGTTTTTCTTTCTTTATCTGCAAATCTGATGAAACCCAGCACACATCTTGTTAGATTAGAGTTTTAAAATATGAATTTGGAAATGCTTGTTTTACTTCCCCACAGGCAGAGAAGTATAGATTATTAAATTTTATGCCTGTTTTGTCTTTGTACTTTATAATAATTCACTGAGCTGCCATTAAATTGCATCAGTTCCACCTTAAACAGATGATGTAAAGGGATCCTGCTTCTGCTGACACCAAAAGTTATCTATGAATGAATAACTGATAAAGAACAAGTTGCAGGACAGAATTTACTTGTTTGTTTATGTGTTAAGAGTAAAGATTTGAGTTCTCACTGGCATCTCAGTTTCGGAACGAGCCTCGCATTTCTTCCAGTCCCTCCTACTGAGAACACTGCAGTTGGTCTCCACTACATCCAACTTTAGATAATAAACTACTCCGTTTTCTCCCTGTAACACACAAATAACAATTATTATGTATGATTTCAACACAGTGTTAAAATGAATAAAGCACTAGTAATGTGTGATTTGTCATATCTTCAAAGTTTTATCTTTGAATCAATGTAAAAAAAAAAAAGAAAGAAAGAAAGAAACTCAGAGTGCATTATGTCTCAGACCAATAAATAATCATCAGTGGGGCTCAATTGGTTTTACTTACATGTCTATCCAGGTGGACATTGGAAAGCCGGTGCAGGCTGAAGACGTAGCCATCCACTCGGTCAAGGTTGATCTTGCTGAGAGCTAAATGAGCAGCGCTCACAGCTGATGGATCTTCACAAGAACCTGGCTGGATGCCACCCTGCTCAACTGGTGCGCTGTAGACGCTCCCCACTACCAGCAGGAACAGGACACAGGTCTTCATCACGAAGCCCTGTCTTGACTCTATCTCTGTCAAACTTACTATGTCTCTTTCCCACACACCAACCACACAGAGGAGAGATGCCAGGAGAGAAGAAAATGATGACCCTTTATATTCTTGCTCTGACTATCATACCCACTCACAAAACCCTTGTATACCCTTTAACCTAGAGTCAACACAACCCTTGACCTCTGTTTCGTTCCTAAACAGATTGTCACAGCTAAGACTTTGCTCCTGTCTCTCCACCAACCAATCAGCTCGAGTACAGACTTGCACAATGGAGTTCATCAGCCCTCTCTCCTCTTTAGGATCAATATGGTCGGTAGGTTGAGAGACCTTTGGTTGATTGGTGGAAGTTACATGATCTCCTCTTGGCACAGACATTTAGTTTAATCAAAGGCAAGGCTGATCCCAAAGTACTAAAAACTAACATTTGTAGAAAGTCTTTAAAGCTCAGGTCAAAATTCAAAGAGAAGCAAATTGAAGTCTATGAAAGTGATAATTGGTACTCAGCAGGAACAGGAGACCATTTTAGTTTGTCAGATCATCAAAGTTTCATTTATTCCTTGCTGATTATCATCTGAATTTGGAAAACAAGTTTAGTAATTATTTTCAAACTTTGCAGAGACATCTTTGACCTTTGTCCAAATAAACAAGACAGAAAACCATGCACCTGAAAGTCAATATTTATGTGCTAAAGGACACCCATGTAACAAATTGGTCATAAAGACCTGTTTATATAAATTTTTGAATGGCTCAATGTTGACTGATTGACTGGTAAAGATAAACCTCTGAAAGCTAATAGCCTATGTACATTCCTCCATCATCTAAATGATAGAATAATAGAACATCCTTATGGCACTATACTTTTTTTATCTGTTCACAAAATTATATTACCGTAGATATATTTGTTATTGAGTCAAAATTTTCATTGGATAAATGCTAAAAATATAATTTCACTTTATTTATTTAGCAAATCTGCCTTTTAACTTGGAGCAAAGATTAAGAAGGTGCAAATTTCAGCTTTTCCAAATTGTATTAAATCAATATTTTTAATTAAACTTCTGACACACTCACATACTCCATTATGAAAATTTAGAAAAAAGTTTTTGAGATTTTTGCTAATTTATTAAAAATAGAAAATCAAGAAATCAAATCTAAGTATTCCCAACAGTTGACATGGAGATCAAAATTTAGCTTCCACTGATCATCCTTGAGATGTTTCTACAGCTTAAATCAAGACCACTTGTGGTAATTTCAGTTGACTGGACTTGATTTGCGAAGGCTCACACCTCTCTATAGATGGTCCCGCAGAAGAGAGAGCATGTCAGGTTGCAAACATGAGGCATGAAATCCAAAATTGTCTGTAGAGCTCAAAACATGATTCTCTTGAGGCACAACACCAGGACAATGATTAAAATCTTTAGTGTGAATGACAGGCATCATGTTTGATGGAAACAAGGCATTGCTCATCACCAGATGAAATAGCATCCGTAGAATGAAGCAAGGCAATGACCCAAATCACAGAGGCCTCTCAAAGGAGTGGCTTCAGAATTACCTGGATTGGCCAAGTAGGAATCCATATTATAATTCGACTGAACATTTCTGGAGAGATCTGGCTGTGTACAGATGTCTACATGGAACCTGATGGAGAAATACTGCGATGAAGAATAGGCCAAATTGCCTTGAGATAGGTGAGCTAAGTTTGTAGCATAATTTTCAAAATGACTGGAGGCTGAAATTACTGAAGGCTGTAAATACTTATGTAAATGTGAGTTAGTGTTTTTATATTTTTAATAAATAAGCAAAAATCTCAAACTTTTTTCCAGATTGTCATACAATTTTGTGAAAAGATTTGTGTGTAGAATTTTGAGGAAATATTCATTTATACAATTTGGAAAGGCTGTAAAATAACCCAATGAGGGAAAAGAGAAGTGCTGTGAATACTTCCTGAACGCACTGTAGAAGTTCAAATAAAATTGGAAAAAAAAAAATCAACATGCACTTTTATAACTGTGAAGACATTGAGTGCAACCAATGTCCAGACTCAGAGACCTGGTGTCCTTATCTGTAAATCTTTCCCACATTTTTGCAGCTGTCTTTTTTGTGTTTGTCAGTGTTTTTGCTCTCAGGTTAATGTTCATTGGAAAAGATACTAAATAAAACTTCTGCAGAATATTTTTATTCGTCTTATACATAAATTAGAACCTCTTAGTTTGTTTGTGGTAATTTCTGTTCATGGACACACAAAAACAAATTTTAAATGTTGTACATTTTTGTTGCTTAATAACTAGAAAAAGAGAAGAGAACAAAGGATCCCAACTTTGCTAACCTTATCTGTAAAACGGTTGCTGTTTGTACGAGATTGAAATCACAAACTTTGAGATAAAAACTGTTCAGAGTTAGACTTTGCTCTTTTCACTGATCATTCCGTTTTTCCTCCCTCCTACATCGTTCTATTGCTTAATTTAAGCCTGTGGTTGTTTGTCTGTTTTGTTTTCATAATTCCACCAACTTCATCCTGGGCCTCTGCAAAAACACAGCTCCATAAAAGAGCTGGAGGTCATTTTCATCATGTGTTAGTTTCCTTCATTGATCCTGCTTCAAGTCCATTCAGAACCAAATTAACACAAGGTAGTGCTAATTTTAAAGTATTCTGAACAAAATCAAATAACTCCTTTTTCTTTCCTTTGCCTCTTGTCATGTGATGTTGGTCATTGGACTGCAAATTACTTGCCCTCTGCTTGTATTTTTCATAACCCCAACTCAAAAAATATACAACATAGATCACCTTGTTCCTTGCTTCTGTCTATTCGTCGATCTGTCCATCCATCCTTCCATCCACAACACTGCTTTTGTGAATGGATAGATAATTTTCTGAAACTTTTCCAGAGAAGTATTACATCTGAGCATTTCCATGGTGTACTTACATAATTGTATAAACAGATGAACATTGCACCCTGTCCAAACATCTGTTGCTTGCTATAGTATCATAAAGATACAAAATGAATTATTTTTGCTTGAACGGTTTTCAGAACTTCCTCCACATAAGCTATTTGAAATTTACAAAACAAATACATCATTTGTTTTTGCCGAACAGCTTAAAAGCATCATAGTCAAAGTAAACATCTCAATTTAACAAAACTAATGTGAAAATATGGGTTTTTTTGTCATATTATACAGATATAACTTTAGTTTCAAAAGATTTATTTCAAACACAAGATGGTGCTGGAGTCTAAGTCCCTGTGAGACATGCATTCAACATGTTGCTGACAGATTTAAATCAGTGTTGGGGTGAAAAATTATACACTTATTTAGGTCTACAATTAAAACACACTGAGCAACATTCACTCCAGAAAAACAACAAGTAATAGTTTCTGTTCTACTCATCAGAGACCAATGGTCATCTCAGGAGAACACTACACCTAAATTTTCCCCACTGAAAATGGTGATTAGGATTGTTTGAGATGACACCAGTCAGCATATGTGGAACACATAGAGCATTCAAAATAGAGCTAGCATTGGCAGTCAGCGGCGATTTGCAAAAAAGGTCTGTATGTGTTGAAACCAGAAATAATGATGAGTTCAGGGGCAGATGAAGAACAACTGTGGCTCTTGGCACAAAGTCGTGACTGTGAAACAGTTTAGCTCATCTGAGTTTCAGCTCTTGATGCTTGCACAGGGAGTATATAATAACCCTCTCACTGTGCCCAAGACCTGGAAAGTTTCAGGCAAATTCTCTGCCGTTTATACATCACACATTTGGTTTTTATTGCTTTGTATTCAATTTAAAAGCTTGAAACCCTTTCAACAAATATGAGCGGTAATGTGCGAGGGAACACATACATATAGGGGATTGTTCCTTAACCCATAGGTCAGATATTTAAATAAAGACTAATTCTTGCCTTTTTATAATGAGACCTCCAAAAATATTTACAGTATTACTGATTGTGAAATGACAGCATGGCAATCTGAGAACTTCAATCACTTCAGCAAGACTCCTTATAAAGACATTGAGATGCTATCTCAAAACCTTTAGACTCCAGTTCTTGCCGACAAAGTCTATCGAGAGTTTGCTCTTGGAAAAGAAATAATCAAATTATATCCTTGAGACATATAAAAATAAGTAAATGTAATTTAGAAACTAGTGGTTTCCATTCTATAAAAACGGAAAAATCCAAATATATAGTTAGAACATTAAAAAGCTATTTTTAGAGAAGCAAAGAACAGAGTCTCACAACAGATGGTATTGTTCCTCTAGGCCGATTGATCAGCAATGAGACAATCAGTCCGGGGTCAGAATAGCTGACAAAAACTCAAATTTTTGCTAATTCCAGATATAAATATAGGCTTTTTATTTTGTTTATTTAGAATCCAACTATACAAATACAGCAACTGTGATTGTTTTTTCTTTCTTTGCAACGCTGCAATACTTCTAAAAGCCTTGGTACCAGGCTGGTTAAGGTCACATTTGTCTGACAGATTCTAATCTGCTCATATCAATGCTATTTTTTCTATCAAGCTTACCTCATAGTTTTGGAGTACATGAGGGGCTTGAGAAAAGTTCAGTTCAAGCCAATGTCACATATACCTTTGGCAGATTTTGTTGTGCAGTTTTCAAATCAACCATATCAACCAACAGTTTCTGACCTCAAATAATTCACATAATTCTCAATAGATTAAAAAAAAAAACAAAAGGGGCAAAAATATAAAAATACAATTTTATTTATATTTATTCTGAACTGCACATTAAGAATTATTGAAACCCCTCTTGACAAAAAAATGCAACCCCCTCCATCACCTCCTGATCCCACTTAGATAGATGGATGGATGGATGGATGGATGATTTTAACTGTACCATACTATGAGTAGGAGTAAATTGGTCTGTATGCATGAATTTAAAATGCACCAGATTGATATCAATGAAATTGGAAATCACCACAACTATCTTGAAAAATGCGTTGGGATTAGCTTTATTTGGAATTGGAGGTTTATATTAAATTAAGAAAAACTAAAATTATTTTTAAAAGCCTATAACTACTGTTTGGCTTCTTTAAAGAAGCCAAAAAATATGTCAGATTTTTATAACAGCTGAAGTTA